TGGTTCCCGAGATATTAACTTACCCGTGAAAAACTTTCACGGGGCCGTACGCGTTACCCGTGGGTAAGGGTAGGCTGAATTTGAATGGGCAAGGTTGAGCGTGGGCAGAGGGTCATTACCCTAAAATTTCAGCCTCCTAGAATCCGTGGTTCCTGAGATATTGACTTACCCGTAAAAAAATTCCACGGGGCCGTACGTGTTACCCACGGGTACGGGGAAGCTGAATTTAAATTTGGGTCACACGTGGGTGGGGGACGTTCCCCTAAATTTTCAGCTCCCTAGCTTTTGTGGTTTCCGAGTTAAAAGTTGCGGACAAGTTGCTGCGGACACACACGCACAGACATACAGACACACAGACATACACAGACAACCTCTCGTCAATATGCGTTTTTCGCATTGCATTGCTGCAAAAAACGCATAAAAATGATCGCGTGGTAAGAAGCCGCCGAATAGACGTGGAGAATATTTGTAGAAAATTCTACATAAAGCTGTTCTATCATCTGCCGTCATTCCAGCAGCTACAATTCGTGCTTGCACGTAGCAGATTCTTGCAGTGCTTATTATTGAGGTAGGGTCCAAATGCAAAGTGGAAGACTCTGATAATAATGTCACCAACATCGAACTGATCAGATACGGAAAGCACGAATTTTGGAAAGCTCTCGCCATTCGGTCCACTTGCTGAAGAAAGGCACCCCGTCCTTCCCTCCATCTTCGACATTCTATGTTTGAACAATTCAGAGAATTTCAGTTTAAAGTGAAGTGCTGCAACATCCCAATTGCTTTCTTAAACGGATATTTTTGGCTACAGTAGAATGGAGCATATTTAAGTTCCCATGTAGTGCGGTAGTTCAACGTGTCAGGATGTGTAGGGCGGTGTGGACCATTGTTTAACAGAGGGTGGGAGGGGAGGGTGAGGTTTTTGCTTGGTTCTGTGAGGCTGCGGGGTTTTCTTGGAGGATCGCAGATGTGGCGACTGTCTCCGTCTTTCTGTTCTGTGCAAAACCGCATAAAAATCGTTGTTGTTTTGCTGGTTTGTGTGTGTGTGTGTGTCGATTTGTGCTAACCTGTTTTGTCTGTGCAGGTTTCTCTGTCTGTGTGCGTGTGTGCGTGCACAATGTCGGATCCGGTGGCTGATTTCCTGGCTCGCGAGCAGAATGTCCTGGCCGGTATACAGGATGAAACGCTGGACGTTATTGCTCCGGCGCAGCGACTGCTCAACAATGGTATCCTGGATAGTGGTACGTTCTTGTAGCACTTAAAATTGTGTTGTTTTTTGCTCTTACACAGTATAAGCTTCGATGGTGAGATTTTCAGCAATCTAACTGTGATGGTAAAAAAGAAAAAAAAAGAAAAAAAAAAATAAATGAAAATACATATTTTTCCCCAATAATCAATATGGAAATACTGCTAAAACCACATTAATTGAAGTTAATGAAAACATAAAGATAGAACTGAATGCAAGTTTTTTTTAATCAAACTTGAAATACAAGCTTACTTATTTAGTCACCGCACATACAGGCAGGCTTGCTTATTTGGGAGATCTAAATGGCACTTCCAGTGTTTTCATTAATTATCAAAATTCGAC